CGACCGACTGCATCATCCCACAACTCTGAATGTTGAGACCGCATGGCCTCCTTGAACGTTTTCGGCACTCGGAGGTCGCTGGCGAGGCAGTGAGGAAGGTCCGGCGTCTTGTCAGGAGGGCGCTTGGCACGTAACGTGGCTTCCATATCCTCGCGGGTGGCGAACATTGCTGCGAACATGTGCAGGCCCCCCGGCCCCCCAGCTCCTGCGGCCCCCCCGCTCCCATGGCCTGCTAAACTCGTATCTTGCGGCTGTGGGGGAGCGGGAGGGGCGATTTTGGCGGACGGTGGCAGGTCTCGACGTCCTTGATCGACGGCTTCCCGGGTGGCGAGCGACGAGACGAGCGCATCCTTGCCCATCATCGACAGCAGCCCAAGGCGTGTCTCTTATACACATCTAGATGTGTATAAGAGACAGNCGACGACGCCGTGGATATCGGCGACGGATCTCCGGACCCTGTGAAGATCGATGGAGAAGCTGGCGGCGGCGAAGCGGGCGGCTGCGTAGCGGTAGTCGCTGTGGGCGGGGTGTGGGTGTACGTCCGCGACGTCCATGGCGGTGGCGGTGCGGCAGCGGCTGTAGGAGCGGCGGCGGCCGGCGAGGGCGCCGCGGTGACCGAAGAACCCCCCCCGCTGGCCGGTACCGGCGCCGGCACGGCGGTGCGGCGGTTGATCCACACGACGTTGTTGGACAGGCAGATCCTTCCGGTGTCGGCGCGGAGTACGACGGCAGTGGCGTCGGAGTGGTTGCGCGCTCCGTGCAGGTAGAAGCAACGAACGGATTGGACGTCCGTCGTGCTGGCGCGCTTCACGCGCATCATCCCCTCCTGGAAAAAGGGGACGACCTTGAGCGGCGGTTTGCGTCCGAAGAAGGCCTCGAACGGCGACATCCAGGCCGGGTTGGCCGACGTCGCGCAACGGTTGAAGCAGCCGGAGGCCCAGATCGCCGATGCAAGCCACAGCCGGTGTCCGTTGGCGTCCATACCGGGGATGGAGGCGAGGTCGAAGTGGCCCATGGAGAGGACGTGGCGGCGGGCGGCGTGGCCCCCCTTCATGGCTCGCCAGATGGCGCTTTCCACGACCGCATTCTGCTTCGGGGTGTCGGGCGCGGTGTACTCGCGCCGGATGCCAGCGGCGTCGCAGAACGCGACGAAGGCAGCACTCGTGAACTCCCCCGCGTTGTCCATGCGGAAACACCCCAGAGGGCCGTTGCCGTTCAGGTCGGCGAGGAAACGCCGCGTGTACGTCAGGGTGTCGCTCTTGGCCCGCATGCCGTACGCCCGTTGCCACCGCGACGCACTGTCCACGAACATAATCAGGTAACGGGAACCATCGAACGCCTCAGAGTACGGGCCGGTGATGTCGATGTGCACCTTGCCGAACGGTACCGCCGCGCGGGTGACTCCACGCCGCGGCANAGTTGCCGTTCAGGTCGGCGAGGAAACTCCGCGTGTACGTCAGGGTGTCGCTCTTGGCCCGCATGCCGTACGCCCGTTGCCACCGCGACGCACTGTCCACGAACATAATCAGGTAACGGGAACCATCGAACGCCTCAGAGTACGGGCCGGTGATGTCGATGTGCACCTTGCCGAACGGTACCGCCGCGCGGGTGACTCCACGCCGCGGCACCGGGGCCCTCCTGCCCTTCGCCTCGATGCAGCCGACGCATGGCTGCAGTTCCCCCACCAATTGAACACCCTGCTGCTTGGCGGTTTCCCGCATCAAAAATTCATTCACGTGGCCGGTGGAAGCGTGGAACAAATTAATGTCGATGGTGGACGTGGGTTTTCCTACAGTGAACGCTGGACCACCGGGGGCGATAATCGCCAAAGCATGGGAAAGGGAGGGGGGACCTACATCTTGCTGCACACGGCACTCGGCAACGAATTTTTTTAGCGCGTCCAACTCATCTTGCATCACACCGAACGCAACGTGGGGCTTCACGGACTCCCACACGCCTAATGGGTCGGGATAAAAGTCACCCGGTGGGACCGAGTCTTGTCTGTTCATCAAGCCTACATCCAAGAACATACTCATGTCCATTAAAGGCAAATTATCCTGGGACTCAAGGGGCATGATCTCTATCTCTCGCGACACATTCGGGTTCACGACTGAGGGGGACAGGACGTCGGATGAGGCGATGGCTGCGGCTAGGGCAGGCTGAACATCTCGGATCGACGTAGGCACTACATCAACATCGATTGACGGGGAAACATCACTCTGAGGTACTACACCGGAAGTGGTGGACGGGATGCTCGAAGCCGAAGGTACAACACCGGCAGTACCGATGGACGGGAAGCTCGAAGTCGAAGGTACAACACCGGCAGTACCGATGGACGGGAAGCTCGAAGTCGAAGGTACAACACCGGCAGTACCGATGGACGGGAAGCTCGAAGTCGAAGGTACAACACCGGCGTGACCGGTGGACGGGAAGATCGAACTCGGACCGTACCTGCACCCGATCCTGAAATCTGAGAAGGGGGAGGGGGGTTTTGGGCGAAAAGGCCAGTGCCAACGCCAGGCGGAGACGCTTGGCGGACAACGGGGGGAGGGACAACGGTAGAGGGGATTACATCACCGTCGCGGTACGAGGGGGGCAAGCGGGTGGCCGATAGAGAGCATCCGATATCCGAATATGCGAAACTAAGCCGACCGCCGAAAAGGTGCACACCCCTCTCATCCAACACTATCCTGTGCTTTTTCTGCGTTTGGTGCAGGGAGAACAAGTTGAACGAAATTCCTGGCACCACGTACACGTCTGTCAATTGGGCACAAAAATCCACTTCTCCCGAGCGGCCTCCTGCCATATGGAATGCCAGATTGACACTACCGACACACTCCACGCGCAAATGAGCACCATTGCCTACTCTGATGTATTCTTTGCCGGGGGGAACAGGCGAGATGTTGTACATTTTGGAGCTGTTACTCACAAAATGGTTGCTTGCACCGCTATCCGACCAAAATACCTCCCTACCAGGACTGTAATCGCAACTCTGTGCAGACAAAGCAAAATCAAGATCACCACATGCGAC